CTTGACATTATCTCAGGTATCTCAATGAATCTGCTAGTGGTCAGCTTTGAGTGCTTCGTTAAGGAGCTGAAGTGCAGTTATTTCTAAGAAAACAGAAAAGAAAATGTTCACATTCAGCTATTTTGCATTATCATTTTAAGGTTAATGCAAATTTTAAGCATATGAACAAGAGAATCAAACTAACTGCACTTACCGTATGTTGGAATTTGTGAAGTTCATTTTAAAATTCAGCTCATTTATACTCCATGTTATCAGCTTTTTTTTTTTACCTGGTGTTAAAATGACTAGAGTACATGGTGACACCTGTTTAAAGCTTGTAACCCACTCAGGAAGTAAACAGCCAGTCATCCAACTGATCTATGTGGCATCTGTGATCTTCAGGAACAGGCAGAAAGTGCATTGGTATCAAGTGTTTTAACAGCACAAACCGGACATGAACCCAGTGGGACACTTTCACCCGGTCAGGGACACGGAAACAGGTTTTAAAACACTGCTGAGGCCTGTGTTCAGTCCACTGTGGTCTTTTTTAGAGGCAAATGGAAGTCCTCGCCTCTTCACCCTGCAGGGTATCCTCATAAATCAAGCAGGAGAACTGCATTTAAAGTGCAGCTCTTCAAGTGCTGTCACAGTAGTGCTATGTTTTGGTACTGAGCATTTATTGCTGTTGTTGAATAAAAAGGGCAAGATGTTGTTGAAAGAACTTTTTTTTAAACTTATATTCCTTTTAAATGGGACAGGATGTGGTGTGTCTCAGCTCTACTCCCCACTCCATGACACTCTGCAGCCTAATGCCCTTCTTTTGTTGTTCAAACAGCCACAAACTGCAGTCTGAAACAGTGGCTACCACACCGAAGAGGTGGCATCTTTTGCACAGAGAGAGCGGGACAAATAAAAAGCAAAAGCCAAGGTTAACTTAGGTTTGACTTTTTGAGATGGAGAGTCACATGCAGCCAGAGGACTCAGATTTGATTCGGAGGAGGTATTCTTCCTTCTGAATGTGTTAGCGTGTCAAGCTAATGTGTTTGTTTTGATAACACTAAGAACCTAGTATGGTCCTGATTTGACCAGTGTACTCAATTAATATGATTTTAATTGGGAAGCAATTCAAGCTTTGTGTGATGTTAGTGTTTTGTTCTACTGGACTGACAAGTTTACTTGTTAGTCAGCCAACACCAGCTTCAGACAGGAGGCTGGATTTTGTACAGTTTGACACAACCAGGCTTCTTTAGTTCACATTTAGGGCTTCCTTCAACTTTGACTTTTTATGGATTTGTGTGAGAGTGTAACTTTGTAATAATGACCTAAAAAGCCAAAAGCCAAACAGTGCACCTCACACCTCACCAGTATTTCTTGGCATGTTCAAGCGATTTCTCAACAGAGAAGATGTTGGTAATAGAGGATCAGAAAAAATGCAAATACACCTTGCGGGTGTGGTTCACCCTAACTGTTCAGTAACTCCACAGAGGCTGAATTGTTTGACTTTATTAAGTCTTTGTTACAACATTTAGAGATTATGCTGAGATAATTGTTGTGTGATGCAAATAATTACTTGGTAGGATACCAGATTAAGGGCCGGGTTATGACAGAACTGCTTTCTAATTTTTTTAGGGTTGTCAGCTCTATGTGATTTATAAACACACAGGCGCACCCCCTCCCACTACCACAAACATTTATGATGATTGTAACCCAGTCTTAAATAGTGGTTAAAGCCCATGTTGTAATTCTAGGATTAATGACAGGGTCTCTGAAAATGTCACCCTCAGAATAATAAAGAGAGCTCAGCATGAATCAAAAGTTAGACATTCAAGTCAAAGCCTGATCAAGTACCACTTTAAGGAAAAGGTTATTTATGGTACATCGTTTAATTTGGCACTTATTTCAATGTCATAGCTCAGGCAGGTTTGCTGAGCAGTGGAAAATGGGCCCGAACAGCAGCGAGGCTCGGAGGCGTAAATGGATTTTCATCACCGGCTCATTGTTTCATCCTGCCTTAAAATCAATAGGATGCTTTTATTTTTAAACCAATGGTGCAGAGAGATGGCAGTCAATAATACAGGCCATTAATGTGGAACAGGCACATTGCAGTGTCTCTGCTAGACCCTGGGCATGTTACAGTATTGGTTCTTAGTCACAGTAGTGTAGCTGGCAACGTCTGTGTCTGTGTTTTCTGTCGATGAATGCTGGTTCAACAGCCCCACAGTCGTGTCGTTCTACGAGGTCGGACGTGCACCCCCTACACAGGCAAAGGTGATTCTTCCACCCTCAGCTTTGCAAACATTTCCCAGCAGCTGTGTCACTGCATTACCGTACACATAGCTCATAAAGTGCTGATTACACTCTCTGCCTTATCAGGCCTTCAGCCATGGTGATGTAATTTGAAGCTGTAACTGAAATGCAAACATACCAAGAGCAACAGGCAAGGTGTGTGTAAAACAAACAGCGGCCTTATGGTGAAGTAACTTCCTGTTATCAGGCTGACTGTGAGACAAAGATAGGCTGTAGTTTACTGTGTGACCTGAGTCTGTTGTCTGGAGTTTAAAATGAGTAGACTGTTCATATTGCTAACATGTAACGACTGCAGTTAAGGCTTAACACCAAACACTTAGTATGCCCTCGTTGAACTTGTGCGCTGTTGTCTGTGCAGACAGGATCCTCCACTATCCATTCTACTTTGTGCAAACACACTAAAGGTGAAGAGGAAATCCGACCTTGCACGATATTGCTGCGTTGGTTAATCCCCAGGTTTATTTGAACTGGCAGTGAATGTGAGACTACTGAGCTGCAGCTGTCCTTGTAATGAGGAAAACCTTACTGTAATTCATAATAATACCAATAATACCTAGCTTCTGACTGGTAAAGTATGGATGGCATAATTTTGGGGTAATAAAAGAGAAGTAGTGACGTATCCATTTGTTTTCATCTTGACTTAGGAATTGTTACCATGTACATAAAGGACGATAGTTCTAAACAAGATGCCAGAGTGAGATAGAGTAAACAAATGAGAATGCCATAGATGTAGGGGTGGATCAAATTTGCCATGTTTTTTGTCTCATTCCTTGTTCATTTTACCAGCAATAGGTCCTCAATCTGCATTTGAGTTGCAAGACTTGGTTGATGTTTCCCTTAAGGTTTGGACTCATTTCCCATTGTGTGTATTTATCAGTAATCATTGCTTCAATGAAGTTTAATCTTTGGTGCTAATCTTATATAAACGAGGAACTGGCAAAATGACTCACTTCCTCACATTCTGATCTTTGTTAGTCATTTAATTAAACCGGTTTGTGATGCGTTGATTCATGGTAGAAATATTCAGTGAGATAAATGTTCTTGTCATTTGACATGTGGATAGATACTGTTGTCACCAATAATTACCATCCATTTCACCACACTTGTACCATTGTATTCTGTTAAAGAGCACCTAATACATGTTGACTCAAACACTGCAGAGGCCTGTAATCTCTTAATCTTTCTGGCAGGTCAGGTGACGGCCTCACAAACCTTTCTGACTAGTTCGTTCCTTCAAATCTGGCGGAGGGAAGGTTTGGTGTTCTTGCAGAGCCATGTTCATTGACAGCAACTTTACACCATCACCACAGTGGAAATTTAATTCAACTTGCTCTTTAGTGTATGCATGAGTGCATCATTGCACGGGCACTCTGAAAGATTACCTTCTGGTCTCCAAGACAAAAAGACACTTACCATGTAAAAGAGAGGTCTTACTCATGCAAAAGATAGCTGACTCTTTTCCATGACGATGGAGAGTCCTCAAGGTCGATCAGGTTCTCAGGACATGTTAAAAACAAAAGTGTCTGCTCAAAGCTGTGTGTTTATTGTGGCAGTTTGAAAAGTCACACCAGGTGCAGAAAGTGGCAAAATGATTTTCAACACGTTAGGTGGCAGTAAGCTTATTTCACAGATCTCATATGAACTTGTGGGGTCCAGTAAATCAGGTTTGGAGCTGACATTCTGTGTGCAACAGGATTTAAAAGCTGTCTTTGTATAACTCTTTGTTATAAAGTATTATTCATAGGGAAAGCCCATAAAAATGTACACAGAGGCCTGATTGACATCTTTATAATTCAGTCCTTTTAAGCGATTAAACTTCGGCGCCACTGTCGCAGAAACGTGACACCATTTGCCCACATTCAAATCAAGTATGACAACAGTGGCAACATCTGATCTCACTTCTAAAAGGCGTGTGCAGACAAGCCTTGTGTAAACCGTGGGTGTTTTCTGAACCTGAAGAGAGGCTTTGCGACCTCTAAACTCACTGGAGCCATTAAAACAACAGGTGCTTGGTGAAAGCAGCTGTCGGGCAACTAGTGTGTGGTTAAGCCTGAAGCAGCTGCAGGTAACAGTGTGGGGTCTTAACCTCGAGGTGAAGGAGTCACCCAACAGTTGGGCATATGTAGTTCTACTACAGAGGTACTACAGTGCTGCTCTCTAACAGCCCACTGAATCTGAACAATCCCCAGACCTCATTAGACAAAGGACGTCAAAGGTCTTGTTTGACTTGTGTGATTAATTGGTAGCCCCCATGTTTCCCGTAAACTGACTTAAGAAATGGGTTTCATGCACAGCTCTTCATACTAACCATGTGACAGGCTGGGGAGCAGTTGTGCTTGTCAGACAGATGGGGTGCCATATTTTAATCTCTCTCTGTGCGGCCTTTATTTAGTGTCAAGTGACAAGAGTCTATTCAAGTAAGACCATACATGCTGTTCCACACGGCCTTATTGTCCCATAGCTATGAATCTCTGCTCATGTACTTGCATCACGTCTTGACCGGGATCCATTTATTTTTTTATTTAAGTGTGACCTCCAGTTTCATAACATTACATGGTTATGTTCAGGTTTATGGTAATTTGCCAGAGACGTTAATGAGCTAGTATTGTTAGTGGACTTGTGTTTTAACTCATGTTTCTGGTTAATTATAAAAAAAAGAGGCTGCTGTCTTACAAACAGTAAAGAACAAGACAATACAATGCAGAATGCTGTGATTGAATCCAAAGGTCACTTTTATTTCATTCAGAGTGAATAACTTCAGTACTATCACTTTGACAGTACTATAGTCACATTTAAGGTGATAAGACGGAGAACAGACGACTTCCTCTGAAACCAGACCACACAACAAATGCACAACAGTCACTGTACACTGGATGACTTTGTTTGGGGTAAACAACAAGGTCAGGATGAACTCACATCCTTTATATAATCCATCTGACATATTTAATTCACCCATTCCAGTTTAAACATCGTCATTTCATTTTCATTTACTTTTCAACATTAATACTTAATACTGTGACATAATACCTTTATATATCAGCTTTAGCAGCACTATATTTCAGTGAGCCGGTCACACACATTTCTTCATCTAGTCACGTGTGTGTACTCAAACCACACTTTTCACATCTTTCCCTTCAGAAAACGCACTGTGCGTTAACACTATTTGAACTTTCAGGACTTAAAATACTCTCTTGGCCACTTTTGCCAAAGCACAAGTGACTCCATAGGTTCATTAACACTAGTAACATCAGCATCAGCCTTTCACTGAAATCAGAGAATGACAATTTGCCAACAGTAGAACAATGTAAGACAACTAGAGCTGTCGCCAGCCAAATCTCACTAATCTATGTAATTACCTCAATGGCATTTTCCTGGAACGAGAAGTCACCTCATTAGAATAGTTCACAAATAGCTCTCCTGTAGAAATATTCTGATAAATATTTCTTAAAATAGTCCTGAAAATAACCATCTTTCATTTATCCCAGTACAAGAAATGGCAAAATATATCCAGTGTCCAGAGAATATTTCAATCAGCGTATTTTTACAGATGAATATCTGGTGATTTTAACACAGTCACCCAGTTGTGAAATGTTGCTGGTGTGAGTTCTTCTACTGCGAGACATGACATCACACCTACAAGGTGTGTTGCTACTTTTAAGTTTCAGTCTTTGCTCATGTAGCTTTAGTTTGGGTGTGTCTTGAGAGGTGTAGGAAAAGCAGTGAAGACAGTGTTTGCATATTTGTGTCTATGACAACACGGTGAGCGTGACAGTTCCTTTGGTCCTTTTCAGGATGCTGACTGCTTCTTCGTGTGTGACACCCTCCAGAGTCTGCCCATTAACAGCCATTACCTGGTCTCCTCGCTTCAGACGCCCGTCCTCTGCTGCTGCCCCCTAAACACACACACAGACATAGGATTTTGATTAATAACACAATCTGCCAGTTGCACATTGATGTAATTAGTTCCGCTTACCTTTCCAAAAACTGTTTTAACATAGATCGGCAAGTCTCCATGGGGGCTGCCATACCCTCCAACTATACTGAAACCCAGTCCATCTGGTCCTCTTTCAAGAGTGATGGTCTTAAACTGAGGTGGGCTGTTGGAAGACATACAGTTAGGGACTGTTTGAAAATGACTGGGCTGTATTGTCAATGGATTCCTGGGACACAGAATGAACACTGTCTGCCATAATATGTCAAAATGCAGTGTTGAACTGGTACAGCAAACCTAAGGTGCACAAAGAGTTTAAATTCCTTTGCTGCTCCAAAAGCTACTAGCTGAACAGCTATCACCAGTGTCAGTGAATGAATGAACCATATTCAAGAGATGGCTGAAATAAAATGGAAGTGTGGACCCTCTCCAGCTCAGCCACTCTTCCCTTTAAAAAAAAAACAAACTCCCACCTCCAGTGATACTCATCTTGCAGTCCCTTAGACAGACAACATCATAGGGGTAAGATGTTTGGATGCAGTCAAATATTCTGTGTAATAACCATTTATATGTAAATGTTTATACCCAAGGTCATCCTGGAAAATGCAGCTGGGCGTGAGACTTCCAGCCGCCTGCTCCTGAGGGGGACCCGTCACAGTTGTGTCACCGCCTGCTACCACCTACAGGTGCATGGAAATACACACAAACACCCACACATTTGATTTACTGACAAGACCCGCGTGGAGGTAGTGCTGGGTGAGGGCGTCAGTCTATTCAGATCATAACTTTATACACAGACACACAGAAGTGAAGAATGTAGTTCAACTGCAGATGATCTGTGTCTGGGCAGAAAGGGTGAGAGAACAAGCGTGTGTAGGTGAGCGACTTGAGACCTGCAGCTGGATTGTGCCCGTGGCGTTCTTGAGCAGATTGACAGCTTGTGAGTGGCTCATGCCTTCAGTAGAGGTTCCACTGATACTGACAATACGGTCCCCGATCTGGAAAAATGAGGGTTTAGGACAGTTTTGCACACTGTGCAATGAAGCTGGAGAGTCAGAAATTTGAGACTCTGCTCTGTTTCTTTAGATATGGAGACTTGTTGATGTTAATTCAACACATTATACAAAAGCTAAACTATGCTTGTATTGTTCAGCTCGGTAATTTCATTCTGGCTGAAAGGATAAACCACCATGAATATACTATTCAAGATTCCCTCTATTCATCTCAATGAGCCCTTCGTAATGATCTGAATGCAGGAGTGGGAGATTTATGGCTATTGTCCCCCTCCAGTCTGCATCACAGAGCTACAATTGTCAGTTTCTCCGTCATTTAGCTGAGAATGTCCCTGCTAAAGACTGTAGGCTTTAGACCTGTGGGTGGATTTGAGAATCCCAAACTGAGTAAAGTGCGTGGGAATAAGACTGCTGCAAGTAAGTGACATTCACATTAAATCCCACACAAAAATTACTTGTATGCAAAGTTTTAGTTTTGCTAAATGCCAAATAAAGGTTATTAAAGTTACATACCTTGAGCTTCTGGGTCTGAGCAGCCAGGCCAATAGGATTCATCATGGCGATAAAGATGGGTATATCACCCAGAGGGCTGCCGACCCCGCCTGCTATACTGATACCCAGAGAATCTTGGGGACTTTTAGTGAACTCCACTGTTCTGGTGTCCTGATGCTCCACAGCTGCGAGGAAGCAAATATGCTAAATATTTGGAGGCCTTCTCAAAAGTGCACATTTTGCCTATGGCTTCCTTACTTGTATGCTTCATGAATTATTATCACTTGTGAGGATACTTACACTCCTGACTCCTACTTAGTTTGTCAGCATCACCAGGGAGGTTTCCAGAGTCTGAACAAGACTGAGAGGCCACCTGGGAACTGCCTGCTTCACTCATCTGAAACAAAGGAGTTCAGCTCCTTCAGCTCCTTTGGTTGTTGCTTATTGTCTCTTTTTTAGTCGAGAATGATTCTTATTCTGTATAAAACTTAATCTCGGTAGATGTTGAGTGCGTGGCACTTTACCTGACTACTTTGAGAGAGTCGTCTTTCAGAGTGGAAGGGGCCGGCTTTAAACCTCCCCACTTCCATTTTTATAGGCCCCATGCAGCACTACAACACAAGGCACAGCATATTTCTTTCATTTAGTTCTCTATTACAGTTTAAAATATGTTTTATTCACAAACTATGCTTCATCCTGATGGGAAGTATGTTAGGTGTCTGTACCTTGAGTAGCGCAGCCACGGCCTCCTGAGTGGCCGACCTGACATCCTCACCGTTGACTGACAGGATCTGGTCGCCCTGCATCAGTCGGCTGTCAGTGTCCACCAAACCCCCTTTCACAATGTCAGACACAAACACTCCTGTGTCATTCCTGAGGGGAAAGGTGGAATGACAAAGACAAACAGTTAGATAAAAACACATATAAGCCATGTTTCCACCAGAGGAACTTTCCCCTGGGGAACAGGAACCTTTTTGTGGAACTTAGTTCTTCTACATTCTACCAGAGGAACCAGGGTCTAAATTTGGTTCTGGGGTGTAGTTCTATGGCTAAACATAGTACCTAGTTGGGGGGCAGTACTTTCTGAATCTCCAAGAACTATTGGGACGAGGTCTGCATTGCTGAGTAGTGCTGATTGGTTCAATACAGGGCTCTACGGTTCAGATGTGCCAATGTGGAAAATGATTCGGCACAGTGATGCAACTTTGTGTTCTCAGGTTGCAAGGAGCATTTTATCAGTAGGCCTACACAAAAAGACCAGTGACTGATTAGTGGGTTGGAAAATATGGTTTCTCCTGGCGTTTGACCAAGGACTGAGCACAGCAGGCAGAGGCTGCAGAGGAGAGCACGACATCAGCTGAAGTAAAACATTTCTCTGTCCAGAACATAAACTTGTGGTAAAGTGATCATTTCAGCTTTGCCTGCAGCCTGTCCTCCCCAATTGTATGTCTTAATTATAGCGAGCATTTCACGTGGCATTCTTACAACCCCGCTGCCGACCGTCACGCTTTTATGTCAGCAGGCTAATTGGTTTAATCTTCCGTGGGCTTCGGCCCTGCTATGGAAATGAACATTACAATGTGCTCGAGGGACTTTTACCCCAGGCAGAGTTCTTGGACTTTAGTGCCTGGGAATAAAATGTACCTTCTGGTGGAAACAAAGCTGCATATGCTTTTATGTCATTCAGAATTTTTCTGTACTACTTGACCTGAATTGTATCAGTTTCCAGAGTTCTGTTTATGAACATGTTATTGATGATACACTATTGATCCAGCAAGTTCACATCATCCCACTGGAGCTCTGCAGGAGTATGTACTTTTTGGGAAACAGCTGGTAAAGTGGAATATTTAATAGCGAAGAGTGTTTTTTACCTCCCAACTGTGACCTCAATAAATGTGTTTTCCATCTTAGATCTGCTTTTGCTTACTGTGAACATTGTGCAGTCAGCACAAGGCAAGTGTAAATCATTGAGAAAAGACATGAATTGAGCCTGTAACTGACAGTTATTTTATTTAATGACTGTCTTAATGGCAATTTTGACACAGTTCTATTACCGGTAAGTAGATATTTATGAGGAACATGCTTTGGGAATTGACAGACCTCTGTATCTACCCGAGTCAGCTGTGATGATGCCGTTTTCTCACCCCAACTCAGCACCTGGCACCCTAACCCTTTACCCCAAATTTTGGGTTTGAGGCTCTACAACCTGTCTAGATGGCAGATTGTGCTAAGCATAAATCTGACATTCATAACACACACAAAACTTTTATAAATCAGTTGGAGTTGTCACAGGAAATACGGTGTGTTCATGTTTTCCTCCAGTCTAAAGTCAGCACAGTCAAAATCGGTGCATGTTCTGAGAACAGACCTTTGGGATATTACAGTACTGTAAGTTGGGGCCAGAGGAGATGGTGGCATATCCACAGCCTTTTTCTCTACTGTGGACTTTGAATATCTGAGGTGCCAATCTCCACGTGGATAACAACTAACAAAAGCAGAATGTGTGAAGCAAGGCAACTTGATCCCACTCGGTCCTCAATGCCAGAAGTATTTGGCAGTCACAACAGTTCACCACTAACTGCTAGCTTGCACTTTCCATTTTAGTCAAGGGTTTTAGGTTGGCTTGTGTGTTACTGTCTTTTCCATCCTATTGAACATTGTACTTGTTTTTTTTCCACTTGTATAGCAAAACCAGTGAGACAGATGCTGCTGCTGTCCAACTGTTCAGCCTTTGACCCCTACTTGGGCCATGTCATATTGAAATCATATTTCTTCTTACAAATTGATTTAAGCACTTTAACAGAGACCCAGAAATGTTAACTGCAAACATTTATGTTAACACATCTAGAAATCACAAACTCAGTGATATAAATACACAATCAGTAGTTCTTCATAAACCATTTCTGAAGCTTATCCCACACTGCACACATCTGACAGCAGCAGGCCTTTGCCCACAGGTGACTTAACTAGTGAATGCTCTGCCAGAAGAAAAAAAGCCTGAGCAGACTTTCTTACAGTTTACCACTTCACATCCTATTAAGGCTTCTCAGTCTTCCTCTACTGCTCTACTGAGAACATAAAGAACAACATTCCTCTACACAGCAAACGTGGTCACAGCATCGTCTGTGGCAAAACAATGAGGTCAGGATTCGTGTCACTGAAACAAAAACCTATTCTGGTGAGGTGCAGTCACGTGTCTTTTCCTTGGCATTAACATGTTAGGAATCCAAAGAGGCATATAAACTATTCTTCAACAATAAAACAAGATTTAAAAGCCTTTATTTATGCATGATGTGTTTCAGTATAACAATTGAGGATATTCTTCTTCTCCACTCTCCGTATTTTCTAGCTTCAGGCTATTTTTTAAAGCTACAATGGCACTCATGGCCCACCATGGCACAAGCCGATACCAAATGTGTCTATCACAGAAAAGTCATGTGGGAAAATAGGAATTCTTATGTAAACAACAAAGGTAATACTGTTCCCTGCAAACTAGAGCTAGTTACTGTGAGGTTCCATAAGGGGAAAGATCTAAAGATTGTAAAAACAAATACAAGGTGTGCATCATGGTTACATCTGCTCTTGTATGTATTAGGGAAATATAAACCTATTATTTTATATCTTCTCTATTTACTTTCTCTATATTTAGGAGTTGTTTTTTTTAATGGTTTACCTGTGGTTCCGCGATCTGTGTAGGAAAAAGAAAGACACTACATTTACTACACATACTACTAGTTGGTGATGTTTGTTACCAGCCTACATCTATTATTATTCATTATTCATAGTAGGATTTTAAACATTTACCATGATTCCTAAGATGTAACACTGTCACACGAAAAGCAATTTGCAAAGCCAACTGTGAGTTCAGTGTTGTAATAAAGTCTCCTGTGCATTAATAAGTGCATGGCATGCATTAAACCTTGGCGCTAACAATAAATCTCTCTCACCTCCTCCCTACGATGCTCAGGCCCAGGCCCTGACCAGGCTTCCTGTGCAGCTCCACAGTGAACGAGTCCCACAGGTCTTCCTCCTTGTACTGGGCCTCATCCCTGTAGACAATCAGCTGAACCCTCTGCGGAGTCTGCCGGAGCACGTTAATGGCTTCGTCATGAGTGGCTGCACGTAGGTCAATGCCATTCACCTGTGACAAGACAGGAAGAGAGGTCAGTATCTGCATGTACCAGAAATGTTTGGCCTCTTTTATATGAGCAAAGCAATACTGTAGATAACAAAGATAAAGAGGCTGCAAAATTTAATGCTAAAACAGAATAATCTCTTACTGTAACCACAAGGTCATATTTTTTTTATTAGAAATTCAAACTACTGAGACATCTGAACACCGGAGCTTAATATTTAACCCACAGGCTGATGTCACAACACTTCAATTTGACTATAGTGGCGCAGACTTCTGTGAGAAGCTCAACCGGTCAGTTTGAGGATTGATCCCCAGCTTTTTTTTCCACATTACAAGAGGGAAATACCCCATTAACCAACGACATGCACCGGATTTTTCCCATGACATCGCTGTTGAGTGGGAAACTGCTCTTTTTTTTCTCTCTCTCTCTGACCCTATTTTATAAATACAACAACTTGACTCAGACAGAAATGAATAGCGAGGGCAATTAAGTCATAAGGGACTGTGTATGTGTGTCTTTCAATTCAGATCTCCTCATTCATCCACAAAACTCCGGAGCCCCACCCCCGCCCTCCCTTTGTGGCAAAGCATGAGGTCAAATGGAGTGCAGACCTGAGTTGAGCTGGGATACTTATCTTGTCAATCCACATAATACAAACGGCATTCATGCTAGTGGTTAGTTCTCCTGTACTTTGTAGTCATAATCACTTCATTATTCTGTGCCTTTTCTAACAAACAGCAAACATTTGCTTGGTATGAAGTTTTGTTGCTTTCTTTGTCCACTCCATTCATATCAATTAGCCGAGGCTAAATAACAAACAGCTCTCTGTGTTACTGTAAAGTTCAACAGCAGCCTGCAGAATTTATTCCAGAACTGCTGAATTAGACTGACTTAATTTTAGCTAGGTTACGTGTACCTACTAAACTGGCAACTGAGGGTATGCCAGCTCATTTATCACCCATTTTTGCACTATAAAACTAACTGATCTCTGACTGAACTTAGAGCTTTCAGGTTGACACACCTCAGGCAACCACATGTCAGTGATAGAAACATGTTCAGACTCTTTTTTTTTTTAATCTAGGTTAAACACAATGTTCATTATACTGCACCACACCTCTAGGATTTGGTCTCCTGCCCATAGCCTGCCATCTTTTGAGGCTGCGCCTTCTTCATAAACTTCATGGATAATGATGGCCCCCTGGAAAGAGTCAGAAAAAAAGAGAGCAAATAAGTACAGGACAGGACGTGGTGATGAAATGGACATGAGAACTGTGTATCTGAAGGAAATGAGAAGGTACAGGACAGGATGTAGTAGGAGAAAATGATTTGGTGATTATACAAGATCCTCATTTGTATAAGCTCTTGATTTCCAATGTCTTTTCTCTGCGTTCCAGTGTGAGTGTCATTCAGGGTTCAGAGGTTACATTCCAGGGTTGTATATTGTCTGCTGGGGCAGAGGGCAGACAAAGAGCTGTTCTCCCATAACAGAGTGAGCAGACAGAATAGGCAGGCAGGGAGGAGGAGGAGGAGGAAGGCTGGGACAACATCATTTCCTACATTCCTAAGCCACCAAGGCTATTTCAAACCTAGGTTATGCCACCATCATAGATTCAAAGTGGGTGGCATTGTGGGTGGTAACTGACAAAGTACAGTTATAAAAGATCGACTGTTGTCATTTTACAGTTATTTTTAATTTTTTTTCCATTCAGGGATGATTTTGTTAACTTCCTCTTGTGGTAACGGTGTTCCTCTCGCATCAGAATAGCTCTTTAATAAATGAATACAGCTTCATTAACAGACTTGTGTTCATATTTCCTTTTGTTTCCTACCAGCAGGGTGTCACAGCCCCCCACGATGCTGAGGCCTAGACCTGTTCGGCCCTTGGAGATGGTAATGGTCGTCTCGCAGCCGGGGATGATGGGACAGGTCATCGGGTCACAGGCCAGAGCAGAAGGGGTGGATGAGCGACTCGGACCTAAGATAAAGGAAGCAAAATGAGATATGATTCAAATAAAATGTAACTGCGAAGTAAGAAAAAGGATTATTTGTCTGAGATTATAGGCCTCCTTCTCAATAAGTACCTATCCCCAGTCTTTGTTAATTAACAGCAAGTTAAGTAAAACTTGTAACTGTAAGCAGACTCACTAGTGACTGCCTCTGTTTGATCCAGGCTAGCTGTGGTGACGCTAGGCATGCTGGGTAAGCTGACAAGGACTCCGTCTGAGGAACCACTGTCCTGGCAGCTGGACTGCGGAGAAGAGGAGGAGGAGTTCTCATCTGTAGAGAAGGTTAGCTTCACTGGACCTTTGGCTTTTCTCAGTAGAGAACCGACCTAAAACACAGCAGAATTACCAATAGGAGTCAAACTTTACATTGTGGCTGGTGTTGTTTTCCCAAACAATCAATTATTAAATTAAGAAAACTAAATCCTAGTTGTTCCAGGAGCAGGTACCTTCTCCACGGTGCATTCCACGACTGATTCACCATTCACAGCTAAAAGTTTGTCCCCTGGTTCCATGCAGCCCTCCTGCACGGAGAAGAATGTGGTTTCGATTAGCAAACCCAAATTAACTGTATACGTTCAGGATTTACTCTCTGTTTACTACATACTTTGCCTGTGTGACCTTTCACTTCAGATATACTCTGAATTTCTACTTCACTCTCAGTGTTCCCCTCGACAAAGGTGATGCCGAGTCCTTCATCGTCCTATTGGAGTACAGCAGCATTAGTGCAAAGCATGCCAGCAAAAATAAGCATTACTGACAATGACAGTTATCTCCAGAAAGATAATTAGTCCCAGCTTTGATTGGCATCCTATGTCTGATCTTTTTGTTCCCCAGGGGGATTTTCTGGGATTGCGTGTTCATATCTGTGAGCTTCCCAGATGCTGCAGCATTTGCACTGTTTTCTCCTGTCACCTTCTACACCATATGGGAAGCTCCAGCATCAAGGTCCCATCCAGGTGCTGTCATTTATCAAGCAAGGTTCCCCTTTTCTCCTTCTCCTTCTCTGTCTGTTTACATTGAATCAGAAAAGGCATGTTTTCCCAAGTAGCTCTTGTGCCAGCTAGATTTCTTTCATAAGATTTTCAGATGCCCCTTTATGAGATCGAATGGAATTTTATTGGTGGTGTTCAGAGTATCAGAGGCTGACATCTGGAAAAACAAGTTGCTGTTCAGTTATTCTGCTGATGTGATATTTTTCAATGCTTTGTGTCTACTCTCTGCATGGTGGGAAAGTAGACACCACAAGGGCTGAAAATCTTCTTTTGTTGTTGTTACTTGGTGAACTGAGCCATTATGTCCATTTGGAACTGCTCTTCTCCCATTCACTCATTGTTTATTCATCCTTTTATATGACAGTTTTCAGTCTCTTTGCTGTGTGTTGGCAGCTCGTCAGACTGTGCGCTCCCTCTCTGTCTTCCTCTGGCACACTCTGTTGACTTTTTGTAAACATCTCCCTCATTAGTGCATTGCTTCCAACACTTTCTCTCTATTATTATCTTTATTTTGGTCTTTCAAAAGAACAGCATTGTACTTTGTGTGTGAGATGTCTATGGGGGGGATCCAGTGTATCTCACCTTCAGCTTTATGATGGTATGGACATATTTTGTAGTGTCACCACCATCAGCAGCAGTTGTTTCTAGCTGTAAGGAAGCAGACAGTAGTTGCTACAGTAAATAAGCAAGATGTGCGTGTGTGTCTGTTGAGTACAGTATTGAGCGTCTACATGACTGTTTGTGGTTTTTGGGTGTCTTGGGAGTCGCACAGAGGCTTGGGAGCGTGGGAACGTCAGGACCACACAAAGTGGCTTTTGGACCAAACACAAATTTTACAAGGGTAGAGTTCAAATACTAATAATAAATTTTGTGAGTTTCACAGCTCATAGTATGCCAATGAGTTTGTCTGAGTGCTTGTTCCTGTGTGTTACACGTGTGCGGCCATAGGCGGAGTCATACCTCAGCGTTGGGCTCGTCTGTGTCTCCCTCATGTTCTCTCACTGGTCCCACTGCCATCTGGTTCAGTGCCTCTGTGTTCCTGTTTGAAAGAGACATATCTCTTTGACTCTCCTCTGCTTGGTGACAGCGGAGCCATGATATACGTGTTCTAATCACCGTGTCTCCTTCAGGGGTCAAGAAAGGGATGTGAACTAAGCAGAAGGTTAAGTAGTATCCTGTAACAGACTGTCTGGAGGGGGGTTTGAATCTGTGCTGATATGTCAGCTGATATGGCTCAACTTCAGCTGCACTCTTAAAATGCCAATGTTGCATGTGACAAAAATATAGTATTGTATTGTGTCCATCGACTGCATAGTCAGACATTTAATTTATTCATTTATTAAACAATATTAATATTTTTAAATAATAATGCAACGTAATAATAATAATAGATAAACATCAATCAATTAGTTTCTTGTTTGATATGTGCATGTGGATGAGTGTGTTACTCACCACATTACATGGATTCTGTTACTTCAGCTTCAAGTATATCCTGGTAAATTACAATATCTCCCTCTATTGGATTTTTAAGAGCATTACAATAGGCTTGAACGCTCTCAGGCTATTTTGAGTACTTTCTGTCAATACATTGTCATGTACCTGTTGCTGTGGAGATGGGTATATAGAAGCTTTAGTAGGAAGGACAAGTGTTTGTATACCTGACAAAGATGATTTTGACTTTGGATGGAGCGCTCTTGATGATGGAGGATGCATTCTGGTGGCTGTGGCCATAAAGGACTTGTCCATTGATCTATGGGAATGACAAAATATAGCATTACTGCTAAGCTGGACATCGAGTTTAGATATATTACAAAACTGTGACACCAAAAGGAAAACAACAGAAAAGCACTTGAAATAAATTCTAGATTTAATAATGCAGCCAAATCGATATACATCTCACCTCCAGCAGCTCATCCCCCACTACCATACGTCCGTCCTTGCTGGCTGCGCCGTTGGGGTCTATTCCCACCACAAACACACTCATTCGAGAGCGGTCCCTGTTACCTGCCAGGCTCAGGCCCAGACCTGCCTTGCCTTTCTCCAGCTCAATCATGTGTAGGACACCTGGGAGGCTGCCATAGCGCTGGATTATGTTCTCTGAAAGAAGCAGGTGAAGTTGTGGCAGACAGATGTAAGCTGACAGTAATGCTGAAGAGTGCCAGATTTGTCTTGATCCCAGATTTCCATATCAGTTCATGTCATGCTGCTAAAAAAGATGCAGCTAATCTGTAGGATGCATAGGCACAAAAGGTAAATTGTAAAGGTTTTAAACAGACCATCAGACATGCAGATTTATTTTAATCTCTTTGTCTCAGTCTTGTGTCTGCTGTTCTCATTCCAATCTTCTCTCTTTCTCATCACCTCTTGTCTCTCTGGTGTGTTAGATATCCACACCACTGTTCAGACCAATGGGCTCCTGTTGTTCTGGGCTCATTGCCACTGTTGAACCATCAGTCCTGTACTAATCTCCACAACTCACCTCCCTGAGCCCAACCTCATCAATCTTATCCCCGCAGGATGGGCTCTGTCTCTGTCTCTAACACACAAACACAATATTCTCCACAGTCCCAGGTGTTTGGAGGCTGGAAGTCTGTCCTTTATTCCAGTTGCTGCAGTTGAATGTGACCCATTCCCCTTGAAGCGATGCATTCATCTTACTGTTGACTTTACAGCATCTGCAGGATGCTAATAGCTTAACTGGGACATTGAGTCCCTCAGGTTTTATTGAGATACAACCACTTCCAGTATGTGAATGAGAACAGTTTTATTGGATTTATGAACAGCAAGACAAATATGTAACTTGGGGAGCCTCTAGTGGCAGTTAGGGGATAGGACATGTTACAGCAGGTAACTAAATATACTGTCTCTATTAATTGTATTGAGGAGAAAATGAACTCACTCCAATTGTATCCAAACTCATCCTCCACCTCCTCCTCTTCGCCCTCTTTCTCCTCCTCTGCCTCAGCAGGTCTGGCAGGAATCTCTGTCGGTGTGTCTGTGTCAGTCTCTCCCGCATGTGGCACCACTGGCAGGGGGAGGACAGTGCTGGTGGGAGAAGCCTTTGCTGCTTCACGCTTCGCCAGCTGTCACGCCACACATTGAGGTGAGGGAAATAGTTTATTAGTGAAAAGTAAAGTGAAAGAAAGGATTCGTCTTTAGGTTTGAATCAGCTCGATGTCAAACCGACAGAGATAGGAAGGATGTAATCAACAGAAGCCATATGCTTGGTTTATCCTCATTCTTTAGCACATTAAATCAGTACTTAGAATCACTTATTCATTTATTTGAGATTCATATGTATACTCACCTGAAAACCAAGAGCAAAAAATAAAAAAATCAAAGCTTTGATTTCTTTTTTGCCTTTCTAAATACAAAAGATATCAAAACAAAAAATATACATTTGCTTTTGTGCACCATTAAAGTGAGCACTGATTTGGTTAGTTATTAGGAGACACAAAACAAGTAGAGAAGAGAACAAGTAAAGAACCAACAATGTTCTGATTTCACAAGAAGGCACAAAGGAATTCAGAGAGCCAGAGATGATAGGTGCCAGTGTATGCATGTACAGCATGAAGTGTATGATGGTATACACGTCTGTGACACATCTGTACAAGCATACATAGAAAGGAAGCGTGGAAAGCACAACACAGAGACCCACAAACCTTAAATGGGGTAGGAGTGAAAGGGTTAGTTGGGGAGAGGCGGAAGAAAAGTCTACAGTGACTGTCACCCTCCTACGGAGAAGAGACAAAGAGCAACAACTTTAGAGGACAACACATTTCTGACAGATACCTGCATCTACTGACAGACTATGATAACGCTGCGGGCCACAACAACAACAACATCTGTAGTTTGCGGTGAAATGGTCAGACACAACAACTTTTTTTTTATAGAATTTGATTTGAAATGTCCTCATATTTCAAATCTTGTTCTCATTGCTTTGAGCAATACATTCCTAAAGTTGACTATGAAACAACAACACAGGTAATACTGATACAAGTTGTCAGTGGAGGTGAAAGTACCAACCTTGTCCCTGTTGTCCCTTGTTACAGCTGGAGCTCTCTCCTCTCCGGGATCTGCTGTCGATGACTGTTGTGTATAACACAGACATGAAGGTAAATCACTGCACATTCAATTTGTGTTATGTAAAGAGAACACATTCACAATATTCACATTGATGTCACCAGAGACTAAAAGATACTGTATCATTCTGCTGTGCAAAGCAAAACAGCAATCCCATAAATATTAATAACTTCATACAAAGGCTTAAATGTTCTGAACAAAACCAGTAACATGCATAAGAGTCATAAAAGCCATCTGTTTACAAATATTACTAAAGAAAAATGCACATTTCTTAAGTACAGAAAAACTTTCACTCCTTTCCTTCAGCTCACTTGAAGCAAAACTGACACACACACACACACACACACTCCACGATGCCAACACACTGATGTTGAGTCAAAAAACCTGCCCAGCACCACGTCTATCCAAGCTTGACCATGTCTTCCCAGTGAGGGAGCCTTAAAGGTTTGGCCAGAAACTCTGGGACTTTGAAAAAAGATATTTCGGTTTATACTTCTTTGTGTTGACTCCCGTCTGTCTTATCAAGTTGTCTTCTTTACATTGGCAATGCGACACTTGGGGCAGTGTTTCAGGGATAATTGAGAAAAATTGAGCCTTCAAAGCTGAGGACAGGATGAAAATAAAATGCACCTAGAATAAAAGCCTCTACTTTGATTTTAACTTTTAGTTTGGAAACAGAGAGATGCACAGAAGGAGAGAGAGAGAGAGAGAAATAAATATGCTAGAAGAAAGATTCAAAAACACACAGGCTATACATGCAGACACATACAGAAGCAGACGTAGCAGAAAAAGTTTAGGATAGTTTTCCTGTCTAACAGTAGAGGTTTGCCAGAAAAGGGAAAACAGAGTTTGGTATTTGCAATCTTTTAGGCTGGTGGCTATTTTGACACTGGATGAAATGCCCTGATGTGGTAAACCTGCAGGCAGCCTAAAACCAAACCATTTACTGCAAGAGTACACACACATTTGTATTTATGCCATGCAGCTCATCATTAATACAATCTGCACAAGTCAAAGCAGTCCAGGTCAAGTGAAAGACACACCCACAGACAAGCAGGCAGACAGACACAGCGTAGCTTTCTAACCTGAGGGAGGGCGAGTGCTAAGGATGTTTGATTAGTGCAGCCGAAGCTCAACCCATGGTGTCTATTTAGCTGCAGAAAGGGCAGGGGCGGCTTCTAAAAGCAACACACAGGAGCAACAAGCTGACAACAACACAGATATTTAATATGATCGCTCAACCTTTATGACAAAATTGAATCAGAGGCCATCTGGGAGGGAAAAAGGAGGAGTGTATGGAGAACAAGCACCTCAGGTTTTATTTAAATGAGGAACCATTAAAGCAAACTGTTTCCTCTGCATCCAAAATACAAAAACTAGGCAAAGACTCTTTCTCTAAAATACTTCAACAAAACGTTCCCCAAATTGCCCCAGGCTACGGTGAGTTTTTTCAGTGCTTACAAGAGGAGGATTCAAAATTTAAAGGGATACAGCATGGATATGTTATTATGCTTTGTAGGTGGCCCCCAGTGGCTGAATTTAAAAGCAGCATTACTGAGCTCCCCACAGCACTTAGAGATATCATCTAGTCAGAATGATACTTTTCAAACTACTCGGTGCATTGTTGTGGATTTCAGTTTAACTGCAACAGAGCATCAGTGACTTCATAGTCAACTGGAAAGATGTCTTCCTCAATTTTCTTTTATACACAGAGAGATGGATTATTTCCTTTTTATGCTTTTCTGTTGTTTAATTGATTATGGGAACCTTTACCAGAGATAGCAATGAAGATTCCATGAACCCTTGGTTGAATTGCATTAATAATCTGGACTGGATGTAAATGAATGTCAGCACACACCTTCAGCACAGAAGCTTTCTAAACTACTTGCCACTGCTAGTGACAAGATAGATTTTACTACTTGCTCACCATGTTGGTTAAAAACATCACTGTGCATCATGTGATTGTTACTGGTATATCAGAATAGGATGTCTGAACATTCAAATAAACCTTCAGTTCTTATTCTCCCTGAGGGAATCTCCAGTTCTAGTTTGTCTTTATTTCCATTAATACACATATTATGTGTATATAAAAGTCAGAGATGCTGTTAAAAAGACAGACTCGGCTAACAGTATGAGACACAGAAAGAAAGAGCAGGCAGGAGCGATAATGCATCAAAGATTAAGAGTGATGGATAGCTGATGCTATAGATATGAGAGAGACAAAAAGAGAGACAGATTACCTGACGTGCACGATGTGGCATGCATGTGAAAGCGGTGCTGTGTTTCTCTACTGCAGGTAATGGAGCTGGGCTATATACTGACTCAGGCTGAGAAAGCAGCATGCAGGAACAGAGATTATTGTGGGTAGAAATATTTTGATGTGTTAAGACATTTTACTTATTAGTGTACATTTCTTGCCACGAATTAAATTAGAAAATGTATACAAGTTTCATCTCTATGCTAAATTAGAAACTAAAGCCAGCAGAAGGTTAGCTTGGATAAAGGGACATGAACAAGGAAATGCAATGCAACCAATCACAGTTGCATTATTATTATTAAGGAGAATTCTTGCCCCCCTGTGTCCTTCTGTAGGTGGTACATTACATTATGAGTTGCTGTGAGGGTTAATGAGTAACTAGAATGTTAATGAAAGCATGTGGGAATGTCTCACAAATAACAATGCATGAAAAGTGATTTGACTCTGAAGAGATGTGACAATGGATCTGAGCCTGTAGCAGCCCCAGCAGGAAACCACTTAGTCCTGCTTTAAAAGCCTGTAGGCACTTTCAAACAACAAATGATTTTGTTGATACGGTGATTTTCAGTGAGAGTCACACTCAAAGGTTAAAGCTTGCTGATATATTTAATATGCCGCTCAGGGTTTGTTGTTGCTGTCACAGAATATTTCTAAATGACTTTCAGTATTCAAAAACAGACTAGTTACTACAGGGGTTTCATTTTGGACATTTGAGCTTTTGAAAGTGCCCTAAATGATACACTGAACTCTTACTTGAAGTGGAAGAAAAGCTACAGAGCAAAGACATAGTGACCTTTAGATTATGAGGCAGTTACTAGCAATTGGTTTACAACATTACACAGACTTACCCTGGGCCTGTGAATTATGCTCTGCACCATTAAGGAGACAGGGTTGCCTGCCCTGCGTATGGCCTCCACTGCTTCCTCATGAGTGGCATCTCTGAGGTCTACTCCATCCACCTGGCAAAGAGATGTCAAAGGAAAAGAAAGAGTCAGGACTCTGAAATCTCCACACCACACACCTTAATTGAAGGCTCTTGAAGACACTTTGTTAGGATTCATTCCTATCAAAAACAAGTTGTCTGATTGGTTAACGAGATCCACAAAGTGACCTCCTAAAAAAAACAAAACAGATTTACTACTTAAGCATCCATGTTCCGTGACTTAAATTCCTTTACCTCTACAATCCTGTCTCCAGTCTTCAGGGTCCCATTCTGCCCAGCCGGACTGTCTTCCAGGATGTGTTTGATAAAAATCCCCCTCATCACCTCTCCGCTGCTCAGGCGGCTGCCCATCCCTCGGCCTCCGACGATACTGATCCCCAGGGACTTGCCTGGCTGTCTGAAGAGCTCCACTCTGAGGAAGGTATCGATATCATCGTGCCAGATTTTTAATTTCAGTGCGCTGACTCTGCCACTAATTTTAATTTGTAAATTTTGTGTCAAGGACAAGTTTAGACTAGAAGCTTCGATAGAGTGAGTAAGTACTCACTTCCTAGGTTGGTTCCAGTTGCTGTAAGAGGCACTCTCCTCTCCCTCTCCATCTTCACGTTCAGGGAGATTAGGAACATCTCTAAACAAAGGTTAGATGTTAGCTAATATGACTTAAAGCTGAGGCTTCTGACCTCTAGTAGCATGATTGAGTAATGTTTTTATGAGTGGGACCTTCATGTGTGTTTCATGTTATTCCAATGTTGGTAACATACAGAGAAGAGCAGAAAAGCACGAACAAAGGCAAAGAAAAGGAAAACTAGTAGCAAGCAGACATGGCTGTAAACATTGCACAGTTTAAACACTGGCAGTGGTTGTTGAGAAAGGAAAGTCATTTGGCATGTTTGTTATGGTGAGAAACACCAATGCAAACATGACTTTAGTTTGTTTACCAAAAAAAAAAAACCACACAACACACCTGAGGAGGTTTAAGTTTACCAAGTTATTAGTGCGATTACATGACAGAAGCTGCTGTAGTACAATGTGAGGACCTACTTTGGAGCTGGAAGTGGTTCTGTAGCTGCTTCAGAGAACACATCATCTTTAGCCTGCTCGAGGCTGGCCTTGTACTCCTCCAGATACTCTGCTGGAACGTATGTGATGCTGAACAAACACACACACACATAAGCACACACATGCACACATATAAGTCAAACATTTCTTAAACCAAACAGTTTGACTTCCCCCATTTTTAGATACTCCCTTACCCACTTTAATTGTAATTATACCGCTGCCTGTTCACTGATCTCACAGGGTAATTTGCCAAAAACAGAGAACTGCCATTCGGGTACAACATGGCATGAAAGCATTAAAACTGCCACCTTCTAATTAAACAAAATAGCTCCTTTTATATCTGTTCATTTACATTCAGATGCTTGTTTTCCCCACTCCATCAGATTTAACTCCATGCACTGCAGTAACAGTGAACTCAGTCTGATTCTCAGCAAATCCCTTCTCCCCGTCAGCAGCACAAGGAGAGATGTCAGTGTAGGCTCTTGACATCTGACTGCTCAAAACAGATGTTTACCTTCATAAATGTCTGAGCAAATCAAGTTCTCTATCAACTATTGTGTGATGAACATGGAACGATGTGAAGGGCGTACATCATTAATTCATGAGCGGGTTACTAATTCATGCTAAGAAATGACCCAGAAGCTAGCTGATAAATCTGACACCCACTTAAAGTCCCATCTCCAAACAATTCAGAGTGAGGTTGATTCTGAAGGGCACATTTACACATTTGAGTGAAGCTGACAGATCTTCAACAGATGGGTTATGGGTTAATCTGGTTTTTTAAACATGACAGCATGCAGATAGAAAGGAAAATGAATCCCAGTGAAATAATGAAATGGTTGAGTCAGTTCATTAAGGACATCACAACATGCAGTGAGAGATGTGGCACAGCTTAAATACCAGTGATTAATATAAAACAGTGACTTAAAGAACTGAATTATAAACAGTCCTAATCAGGTCACAGACTGAAAAGAAAAGAAAAGAAATTAAGTAGGTGATGCAGTCAATCAAGACTTATCCAGATATTCTGATTATGTGTATAAAGTTGTGCATTGACACTATTTTATCTTTGGTTGCTATAAAAATGTCATGTAATATCTGAACAACATTAAAAGCAGAACCTTTCCCAACTTGATCCCAAAACATTTGTTGTAATTCTCTGTCTGGATAAAACCGCTTCACAGACTGCAGAGAAAGCCAGAAGCAAATGGAGAGAAGGAGAAGAAGGAAACCAAGATGGTAGCTTCTTGCTAAAACACCACCAGCACAGAAGTTAGTCATACTCACACATAAAATGGGCACAGATCGTCCTCGGGTGCACAAGCAGATCTAGAATGTGAAGAGTTGGCTTTTATGCACTGACGTTAACAAACTGCCAACTTTAGTTCAGCAAGCAGAACTTGTAAGATACTACATCCAATTTAGTTGTAAGGTAAACAAAGGGTGGGAGGAACACTATCTCCTGTAATGCAACACAGGACTTGTGTAGAAATAATGCAGTCCAGAAAATTAAACTAATGTGCATTTGCTTGTTGTGCTTTTCTCTGACACCAATACTAAATATTAAAGGCATAAAACAAATATTAAATACATGTAGCCCAGCTTGGACTTTGAGGGAGACACATGCCAAATGCTAGACAGCTCTGCTACTTTCTGTGGTTATACTACAGAAGTACCAAAGATCTCAGCACCGCCAGTTCTTCAAGACCTTGGTATTGACAGGAGAGAGTCTGTCAAAATAGAAACTGATATTGTTTCTAGAAAATGTGGCTACCAGCTGCAGAGTGCTCAAGAAGGAATTACAAAATTACCACTGATTGAAGCAGTAATGAATTAAAATCAGACCAGCAGAGGGGATAATCAAACTAATGTCCAAAGTCAAACTGACTGACTGGTCGTAGGTCAAATAGCTCCCGATATGAACAAGACTTGATTAAGATTGTTGTGTATTTAGGAAAAGTAACACTGCCTCTCCCAACACATTGTAGAGTCTCAGGAATGTGGGTTAATGTGTTTACAGCTGCTGTCTATGAACAGTTAGTCTCTTACCCCAGGTCTGGTCCAATGAGAGAGTGTCGTCGCAGCAGGGAGCGCGCCTGGGCGTTGGTCAGGTTGGCAGTGGGCTCTCCGTTAATGGCCAGGATGAGATCACCGACACCAAGACGTCCGTCACGGCTAATGGACCCGCCGTGGATTATACTGCGGATCATCATCCCCAAACCATCGGTCACAGCGCTCACTGTCATGCCTTTGAGGTAGATCATAAATAACTGTTATGCACCACCCTTGGATTTAGTTAAATAACAGGTACAAACCCTTGTAACAGATAACAAATGTACAGAGAAACAGTGAGGGTGAAGCCTTCAAAACTTCAAACTCCTTATGTAACAGCACAGTGGTGGGAGTTAATTAGCAAAGATCATAATCATAGCTTCTTCTGTGAGGGTGCATTTGGATCTTTTTAGAAAAGAGCTACACAAAACCCAAAAGTGTTACGCAGAAGATTTCAATCGACCAACAAAAAAGGTACTAAAAAGCTAAATAAGATAAGTGTTTTCAGTGAGGGACTAAGGATTAAACACTGCCTTCATAACACCTATTTCTTTTAGAAGCCAAAACTGAGTATTCTCTGAGCCAGTAACAACCCAGTGGGGAGGTTTTGAAATGCAAATACCATGTACAGAAAAGGTATTAGCCTTTCAGACTGGAAAGCAGCCAAAAAAAAGAATTCTGTCATTTTAGTTCAGATGTGGCATTCGTAAAACATGACACAAAAAGAAAGGCCAAATACTCCTTTCACTCCCACAACCTCATTTACACTTCTGTGAATAAAGGAGAGAAAATAAGTGTAAAAACATGTGAAGTAATTAACACAAACCGAGGCTGGAGTTGCCCTTAACAACTGTGATAGTCCTTTCAAAACTGCTCCCTGAGGTCAGCGCTTCCTCGTCACTGTCTTCTGCCAATTCTTTCACACCGGCCTCCTCGTCCTTGTGGGTGACAATTTCAACACCATTAGTCATTAAAGTAAAGGAAAATATTAGTCCGGTTCCCAAACAAAGCAGGGCTCTCCAGAGAAAATGTAGGTGGAGTGGATTGGCTGTGGAAATTAATTTAAAGCAAACAAGCTTAGAACTTTGTTTATCCACTGTTTGACAACAGCCTCGTGTCTCACATCCGAGAGGTTAATGTTACCCTACAAAAATCCACCAAAAAGGATGATTTCTTTTGGAAATGTTATAAATTTCCCTGAACGATCTGTGATGTCCACAACATGCCAATCACTAATACTTCATCAATTCATTGCTGACTTGATGCACGTTGAATCCTACAAATGTATGGTTTGTAAATAGAAAACGTTACCTTCATCAAAACCTTGATATCATCAATATCTCCAGAAGAGATGGGTGGCTCCTTGTGGTAGTGAAGGGACTCCACAGGTTCCTCCTCTACATTAGATCTGGTCACGATTTCAGCAAACGGGCTGTATGAGTTTGAGCACTCCACTGGTTCCGTCTTGGTCATGTGCTGTGCCAGGCACTGATCAGAACTACTCAGTATGGCATTAAAAGCTGAGGTGTTATCTTTCAAACTTGGAGGAGTGAAAGATGCCGGTTCCTCCGAGGGGAACGCTTGAATGTCGTCTCCGAAGCCGGACGGCGTTTCAAAGCAGGGATCCTCATTCAGCAAGTCCAGGTGAGCTGTCAGCTGGGGTACAACAAAGAACAGCAGCTGAGTGAACATTCCACTCTATTATTCAGACAATTGCCCAACAGGGGGAATTCATCTCGCTCAGTCGCCACCCTGCCCTCCTTGTAATGAGCCATAGAAAAGGCGTCCGTGGCCAATAGAGAACAGCAGAAATTACTGGTGTTTAGAGCAAAATGCACCAAATGCAGTTTTATTATAACAGCATTGACTTTATTACAATCAGACTAGCTACTCATGACTCTCATAAAATATTACCCTTTAGGGACCAGAACATAAGTAATCATAAACATTTTAAATATGAAAATATGTAAATGCAAGTGGATCTTAAGAAAAAGCAGAAATGAGAAGTAGAGTAAAACAAGCAAGTGTGAAGTGGAGGTTTCATTTTAAGAAGATGGTGCTGTGAGACGATAAAATATAGTACGGGAAGTACAGGGGGAATGGATTTATGTGTTTAGGTTTATTAGATGGCAACTTTGAACAGTTGTTAAAGCGACACAATCTCAAGAGAGTGTTCACAGACCAACTTAATCCACCGGAAATGTGCACTTCCATGTATGCGAGTGGACAAAGCAGTGTCCTGCCAAATCACATCACATCACATTCTGATGCAGCAAAAACTGAACCAGATTCAACATCCCGTTCATTTTGTCAGTGTGAACACAGCCTAAGTATTCTCTCACACAAAGGACAAGGCTATTATATAGGTCCTTCCTGAATAACCAGGAAGGACCTATTGTATATAATAGTTATAAAAGACATTTATAATTATTATTATTTAAACCAAACAAAGTTAGGATTCACTGTATAATAGTATAGTGTACAAATACACGTATACACAACAGCACTATGTGTAATAAGTTGTTTTTATGGAATGTAGAGATTATCAGGGAGGGGGTGATACAAACAGAAGTTTTTGTTTGTTTATGTTATTTAATATTTTTACAAAAAAGCAGAATAAGTCGGCTACTTCAAATACAACACTGGAATCTCTATAAATTATTTACAAATGACTAAATCATTAGTATGAAAACAAACATCAGCTGTTTACCGTCACACTGAGTGTAACCAATAAAGCTTTAAACGCCATGAGAACTACTGATTCTTTTTTTTATTACTATGAAAATTAATTCATAGAAATAATTTGTCTGCAACAAAACTAGAGTGCCTCAAAAAGGTTCCTCATATATTGTTTGATTTTGTCTAAACAGTACAACCAATTAAAGGAGCCTCTTAAGAGCTACATACCAGAAATTCAAGTAGCATGACTGTAATCTAACAACGCAGGCATCCGTGAGAAAAAGGGCTGTCACTGCTTCACTGACGGTGACTGGGAGGCTGACTGTGTGGGTTCGCTGTGCTTATTTGATCTTGAGCACCCAGGTGACTTTATATTGTTGTTCCATGAACAGGTATTGACCAAAAAGAAACAAAATGTATACAGCTCAAAAAATATCACCTGGGATACTGTCAGCAAAGCTGGTCCACCGGTTACTGTCACTGAAGTGGATCTGAGATTTATCAACAGACTTGTTGCCTCTCTCTAGAGCTTTAGGGGGTACACTGTTCATCATCACAAGACAACTGAGTTGTCTGACCTCATACTCACATTTGAAATCAGTTCTGTGAAACCCTGCAGAGCTATAAATTGTCAAACATTGTCCTGACACATGTCAGTCCCTCTAGGCTATCCTATTATATTATAAATGTATTAGAAAAACCCTACAAATAAGGTCAGTTCTGACCTTTAGGAAAACTAGATGCACCTAAGGAAAACACTTTGTGTGGCCCTTGATCTTCCCTGTTTATTGTTACTTATAATTTAATATCCATCAGGGGAGTTGCCGTTCTTGGGCACCCAGGGCCCCAGAAGAAGCTGCAGCTACAGTTCTCTCATAACAACTAAGCCAGTGATGTTGTTACTGCCTTAATGAACAAAGGAAAAAAACATTTCCTGTGACATTTAGGTTCACAATAGCAACAAAAAGACTAATAATGACTACATGTTTTATAGTTCACTTTGACAAAGGAATTTAATTTGAAGCAGTGCTTCTGATTTCAGTAACTGATAAGATGTTGGCTTACCTTGGGTGCAGATGAGTGAAGGTAATCCAGGTCTGCACTACAGCTGCTACCATGAAGTGCTATCATGGATGCCTGGAAGGTGTCGTCCTCTGTCCCAGAGTAAGTGTGTTCTAGCACCTTTTCATCAGACAGTTCTGCTTCACTGGTGTCAATCTGTGATAGTGGATTGGAAAGCACCTTTAGTTAAACAAACTCTCCAGTCACAGAAATCATCATGCTAGCCACTGACTCTAATGTCACTAATGCTAAACTTGACTACATACACACTGCTGCTAATACAACATGAATGAGAGGAGACAGAATGCTGCTCATGTAATCTAAGTGTTACATGATTACAGACAAACAAACTGATCATTCCTGGTATAAAAAAAAGTAGAGCAAACAAAAATCACATGTAAAGAACAATTTGCTTTTCATATTTTCAGAATGTTCTGATTGATTGTTCAGTATTTCCCCCCCAAAAGCTAACTAACCAATGCAGGCTCTGCTCGGTAAATGATGCCCTCAGTCAGTCGCTCTTCCTCTCCTTCTTCAACCAAAATACTGTTGAAGTCAAATGAATGGATGGTGGATGATGATGATGTAATTTCCTGCTCACCATATGGGTGTGAATATCCACATATTCCCTAGGAAAGTGGAGAAATTCTTTCAGTGTCTCCAGTTTTATTTAATCAGATTAAATTTTTGTGACCAGACCAAGTACAATTAAGTTAGTATGGAATGAAAAAATGTGAGGAATGATTGAGTTTTATACACTAACTTAAAGAATGATGCTGGTCTAACATTGCAGGCATTGCAACTTCAAAATGTCTTTGAATGAATTCTTAACAGAAAAGCTCTTGAACATTTCACATGTATTTTTTAGTAAGCAGTCTTGCTATTGACTGTGTGTAGCAGGCAGCCCAGACAGACCTTGTATAGGAAAAGCAAGAAGGGATATTGGAGGATTGCACTTTTTCAGACTCAATTTTGAGAGGCAACACAACAAAATACCCCTCCAAAGTACATTCCACATCCTGCAGGGGAGTTGGATAACTCCATAGAGGTTTCTTACAGCTTTGTAATCCTACTAACCTTGGCAGCCCAAAGGTCTCACTGTGTAATCCAATGGCAAATTCAGTACACGAAAATGCATCTTTAAACTTGAAAGAATGAGACCAGTTTTGCAGGGAATAGAAAAGTGCCTCCAGCAATGGACATGCGCTGGATGGACCTAATATTTTGACAGGAGCCACAGTGAACAAGAAGGTCTGTGCTATTGTGAAATTCGATAACATACTAATATAAAACAAAGGGCACAGAGCGTTTTAGGCTGGCCGTGTCCTCTCAAACAACAGTAGGCAGAATGCTAAATCTAGTCTACCTCCTCTGCATGAAAAATTCAAGCCTTCGTAAGCTGAGTCCTTGTGAATGGATTGAATTCACATGATATAAAGACAGGCTGACGCCACCTGAAATACACGCCTGACAATCACTGACAAGCCAAACAAGTTTGGCAAAAAAAAAAAAAAATTGCAAAAGAAAGTCTTATTAACCCCAACAGATGTGCATGCACATTTATCTTTACATGCAAGTCATATTCTACTGTCAATATTATTATATTATTATAAGGCAGGTTAAAAACAAAGACAAACAAAGAATACTAATGCGTACAGGCAGTGGTTTGGCGACCCCTATCTGGACCTTCCCGGGCTTAGCCCCCTTCAGGGTCTGGACAGCATCCTCAAGGCTGGCGTTCTCTAGGTTGATGGTGTTAACATACATGAGTCGGTCTCCTGGCAACAGTCTGCCATCCTGCTCAGCCACACCATTAGGAACCAGAGAGCGAATCACGATCACCGTCTTAGTGGGGTCCAGTGGGTCCTGCGGTGGAGGCAGGCCAATAACGTTCAGTGAGGAGAGGTCAACTATCAGAGGCTTTTATGGAAATAATAGGGAAGTCTGAATATTTGGTCAGTTTTGTATGCTGTTTGTTCTTGTGGAAATATTTTATTTATGTTAGAAGAAGAAATGTCAAGGCTTGAAAACAGCAAAACATGAACAACCTTATACCCGTAAGATTACGATATAAACAATACAGCAACATCTATTAAAGTTAACACTACAAAAGTACCTTTGTGGGGGGAAAAAGCTATAAAACCTCTTCTATCACCACATTACCTTCTGTACAGTGTTTCACTCCATAATTCCCTAAAAGAATTCCCACCTGGTAGTCCAAAATGCTGAATCCCAATCCCCCTTCTCCTTTTTCGAGCTCGATGTTCTGGATCTCCAATTCCCACATAGCCAAAGGAGATCCTATCACCTCCTCTGTCACATTCTCCTGCATCGTTGTAGTTGTGCTCACCTCTGAGTCTTCGGTAACCAATATACTGCTCAGGTCTGTTTGTTTCTGCAGAGGAAAAGCCCAAAATCTCTATGTAACAGGATGCCTCGCTTGCTTTTACTCCCAACCCATAGGCTGCCACCCTCTAGTTGCATTTCTGGCTCAGGTTTCTGGCAGTAGCTAAAAGGAAATTGTCTTTGGGATGCTAGGGCCACAGTACATTATCGCAGATAAAGCTGAAGAGATGACAACTACTTCCCCAAAGGTAAATTGCTTGATGTCTCATATCACTAGCAAATGTTGTTCGCTGCTGCTGGTGAGGTATTACTAGAATTGGCCTTAATAAACCTTCAGCCTCACTCTGCTTATCACCAAGTCTTAATCCATCATGGCTGGCTATGTGGAAAGCAAGTGGAGCGATTGACAGCCTAGACTAAGCTAATAATGGTTTCTGTGTTATAAATATAGAGGAGGACTTGAAGAGTGTTGCTCTCCAATCATACTCTTTTCTTTGTATGTAGGGCCAGGGAAAAACTGTTCATGATACATTAATGCATGTCAAGGAGATGCAGGGAGTTTCCAACTCTACCTACAGTATATACATCATCTGCTGCAATGCTCAGTAAGTAATATACAGTAGCCTGCATGTATTAGCCTTGAAAACATTAATTCCCTTTCTGTAGGGGTTCCCTCTCAGAAATAACAAGCAAACATATTAAATTCATGCTGTTTATTTATGAAACAAATAAAAAATATCTATAGTTAAATGCTATAATAAGCAATGAAGCTACAGTACCTTTAATTTGGGTGTTGAGGTCAAAGTCTTTGATTCTGGTTGGACAGAATCTGCGTCAGACTGCAGGTGAGGAGCAGGTCTGCAGCATGTCATATATACACAGAGTGGAAGCTCCTTCAAGATTCTGATGACTTCTTTGTGGGTCTCACCAATCAGGGATATTCCACTGACCTATAATACAAAAAAAATTAACCTTAGGATAAAACAAAAAGAAGTGCAGAGTTGTTTTCTGGCCTCTTGGGGGCAGTAGAACTAGTGGTAACATCAGTACCTTCACACTTTCAAAGAATGAATTGTGTTAAAGAACTGTTGCTTATTTACAGATGCAACAAATTCACGAGTTCACTGTCTCTGCTCTGGGTTAAAATGAGAGTGAGCCAGAACAGCTAAACTGCAGGCCATGAATCTGAAACAAAGTGCTGAAAAAAAAGCTGAGAAGAACTACAGAGTCAGGTGTTAATCTCATTTAGGTGACCGTGCACCTCGAGCAGTTCATCTCCACTGAACAGTTTGCCACAGCAGCCAACAGGTCCCTCAGGTAGAACAGAGCGGATGTAATGATGCCCATTGTTGGCTTCTAGACTGATGCCCAGGCCGCTGCTCTCACTGAACTTCTCCACCTGAGCCACCTGTCATGACAAGAATATCGCACCTCAGTCAGTGTAAAAAGTTTTGTCTGTTTTATGGGATTATTATTTCTACTATAAACAAGTTGATCACTCTGACCTTGTTGTTTGACTCAGGTCATTCCCACTTGGACCTCTTTACCATTCTAAAGCACTTGTTCATGAATAAAGTTCTAGTAAATCTAACTTGATGGGCAAAAGGAAAACTGCATCTGAAACTTACTACAATTTCATTACTTGGACCCAGAATCTCCTGCCACTTCTTCATTAGTCTTTCTTCTTCAAAGGGGGATAACGCTATCCCTTGGAAAATACAATACAAAGGACTTGTATTAATACACCAAACAACATAACATGAAGGCAACTTTGTGATAAACCATTCACAGCCAGAAATGCAACATGAATTTTTGCTAAATACTTACAGTATATTGCGACTGGGATAAGACACGCAAACAAAGAGAAAACCTTTTTATCAACACCTAATAAAAATTTTACAGCTACTGCACTGTCTGTAAAACTACTAACAGCATCCATCTCAGTGTGGCCTCACACTGTGTACTGCTACTCTGTCAAGTCCTGACAGCAATAACCCTTATCTGTCAGATGTGTGCCCAGTATCCTTGCTAGTGTACTTAAAGACGAATCCCAGCCTCCTACCGTGTTTGTCTTCTGTTAGCTGATCTGTGGCTGGGTTGACATCAGATCCTTCACTCTTTGTCTGGAGCGGCTTTTCATCTGTAGTGACTGCGAAGACACAATGAACAGTGAGACGGGAAGCACCACAAAGCCTTGACAGTATAGGCACACAGCCACTGGAAACAGCTCACACACATACTATAAAATCCCCCAAAAAATTTACTTCACTGCTGAATTTATTTGGAATAGTAACCATCTGTTTATTTAATACTCTCTTTCATAATCACTTGCGTATTGGTCCAGAAAGAATATACATGATTTTGCTGTTACCCATAATGACAGGCCCTAAACATTCCAAGACCCTAAATATATGTTTAATGATCCTCATAGGTTTTTACAACTTCATGCCCTGGTTTATGTCTCAGGAGTTCCGCTGGGTACCAAACTGGTCGCCCATGAAATTACTACCTTTGTGCCCAGGCACTTCACATCAGCATATTTTAAGTGCCAACAATAAACTAATACTAGCTAGTCTGATACAGCATGTGAAAATACAGACTTGACAGCAGTTTAAGTGATAAATCTCTTTTCATATCCCAACCATTAAACGACCCATTACAACTTGTACACCAAACTTATGATCCCCTTTAAGTTAGCTAAAATATGATCCAGTTACTCACTATACTGTTCTGTTTTTTTCACCAGAGGTTTACTCACATCTAATGATAACAGATGTCCTGTTGTAGTACTTTAATATAAGTCTCTTCCCTTTTGGTATGTTACACTCACAAGTACAAACTCCTATAATTCCTATTTCATGACAGGTTTCACAGCAAGAAGAGTAATACCAGCCTCCTCAGTCTCTGCCTGTTGGCTACTAGTTTTTCTGAAGATTTCTGAGCTACCCTTGGTGCCAAATCAAATCACTTTCAAGCTCCACTTGCGCAAGTTGCTTTTCTTGCTTTGGTAATAGCCTGGAGGTCATGTCAGGCCCACTGGAGAGGAGAATCATTCTGTGTACTTTCTGTCTATCTTCTTTTGATGTCAGTATTATAAAAATGCAAAAGGTTGTTTAAAAAAACATGACATACATCGTGGTTACCAGCTCATACATGCAGACCTCAGCTGTAACTCAACTGTCAGTTTCTTAGTTGTACACTGTCAGATGTTGGGAATCCCATGTGGATTTATTACTAATTCTAGTTCAGGGTCTAAACAACGTGATGGAAACATTTTGGTTATTTATTTTGAGGGTCAGTCTGGGCAGAACATTCCTCTGCCAATGCAATGTATTAATGAAAGAGGACGGTAGCTCTTGATATAATTTGGTTTCTCTGTCTGACAAAATAAATTTGCCCTCTTGGCCTTTGACAGTACTAATTAATAACGAGTCCATTTCCCTCTCTTGTTAGGGGAAGATGTCCAGTAATGTGTGCAAACAGATTCTATTCCTATTACTAGAAAGAAACCCCCCCCCCCCCCCCCCACCACAACTATACATAT